GTAGTATGAATAACCGAGTATCTTTTTTGCGCAAAATCAATAAGAGGAGTCATCTAATCAGGTATCTGGTGCCTGGGATTTTTAATCATCCAAATTTTTATACTATAACCTTACTTGTGGCCTCGTTGGCCCATAATACCTTTGCAATTTACTCGTTTATTCATACTACACACTATTTACGGCATCGATAAGTACTGCCTTAAAATTTTAGCTTTTCAGAATAATATGCGGGAGGCATCTATCAATCAATCGCAATTAAGCGATTTAATTTGCAACGCATAATAAAGTTTGGCCAGATAGTTTCCATTTATACATTGGGGTTTGTTTGCTTACTTCGAATAGCTGAATTGACATTAATAAGCGAAAAACGAATGGCGATACCGCTTAAAGCGCTTTTGAATAACCTTAACAAAGACTTCGTGAGGGAACGAAATTTAGATCCGCTAGATATCGGCCGATATCCATTGGAGGCATTTTCAAGAAAATCTTGATCCTCTCCATGCCCAATAGCAACATTGATTTTGAGTAAAACAAAAGCGGATCTTAGCATTAGGAGAAAAATTAATTTCTAAGCATTCCTTGATTGGATGTTTTGTTGCAAATAAACAGGCATTTGATAGGCAATTTCTTACAGTGAATCAATTAAATTAAATTAAATGGGTGTGGCTACGTCAAATAAATTTGCACGAATTTTATCGAAAAAACTACTGAAAGGCTATTGCTTGCGGTTAAATTCGCCAATTAAGATATACCCTTCTAAATTAAGATTGATATTAGCTGTGTTATGCCTTTTGCATCTCTTTTGTTTCCGTATATTCACTAGCTGTATGTAGCTATAATGGATGCATCGATGGCGAAGAAAAAATCTGACTCCTAAACGTATTTGAGAGACCGAATATATGAAGCAGCTCTGAGATATCTAAAAGTTCTAAACTAGCCCTCGTATTTTCATCGAAATCGCAAAAAAGCTTTAAAAAAGAAATCAAAGCAGCATTATATCTGGCAACATGAATCTTCAAAATGGGGTCTCTTCACAGAAAAAAGAGACCGCGCATCTGCAAAACCAGCTCTACCCCTGGTGAATGCGATATTGTGTTTTCTAGAAAGTTTAAGCGTCCAGAAAAAAATTTGAGTCTTATACCAAAGCAGAAATTATCCGATATTTCACGGTCATTATTTTGAATGTTACATGCAATGAATACCAGATGATATTGAAGTTAACCCCAAAATTTGGCCTTCCAAAGCATTTTAAAGTGCGGCCGTGTGAAGACGCATGCATTAATCAAGTAGGACTTTTGCGAATATATCAAACCAAATCATTGAGAAATATCTTGGCCTATGCTCTTTATCCTCTAGACGTTTTCTTTATTCAAGATGGGGTCGCCTACCATAAACCCCACTCTAACCCCAAATGAAAAGTCCAATTTTAATTGGAAAATTTGGAGCTTCTTTGGAAACGCCTTTGGTAGAACCATTTCTAAAACCAAGAAAGTTCCGATCTCTTTTTGATGCATAAAATTCAAGTTAGGAATATATCCTGCCAAAAAGGGTATGATATATAGAAGTATTGATCTTTTCCCACCAAAAGCTTTTTGTGGGTAATAAATATCACTGTGAAGATGAAAAACTGGAAAGCTGACTTATAGATCGGTATATATGTGACACACAAAGAACTTCAGAATATCAAGTATTAAAGTTATAATTATAAAAAGAAGCCATTTGAAGGGGGCTCACATAGAAGAAGCACTCCAAAAGGTAAATCAAAAAGACTGTTTTTATGACCCTTATGGTTGCAATAATTATTTCTCAACTTTATTGGAGAGTCCAATAAACCAAGATAAAAAATTCTAGATTTGGTATAAAAAATTACATTTATATAAAGAGACAGGAGCAGTTTTTAAATGTTTTATTTGCACGAGGAAGTTTTATGTTGAGAAATAGTCGAACTTGAATGAAATCTACCAATGGATCCCCTTTTGAAAGACCAGCTTTTGATTTAAATTTAAATTTTCCTCAATTGAAAATTGCAATTTTTATTGAATATGGCCTCACATGTCCCCCTCCATAGCGATAACCCAATGCCTTTGCATCGGCCTGAAGACCCTCAGATTATATCTGTTACTGAGAAAGTAAGCACGCTATCTACAACAAAAAGAGTGACAGATCTTGATGCTTCTACTATTATTGACACTCAATCTCTTTCTATCTCAGAAACTTTTCGATATGACGCCGATGACGACGTACCTCTAATTCAGTTGCTTAAAAAGACATCAACAAAACCACAG